ATGGCCGGCCGTGGCCCAACCCCACATTCCCCTGATAGGTGGAGAGTTGGCCCAATAGCCGTAGTGCCACTGTCCTGACATCAGGACAGTGTTCAAATCTGGATCAGTTTTTATCAGATCCGTTGCAGCCCCTTTTTTAGAGATTTGGGTATGGAGGAAAATAGAGAGGGTTGTGTTTTCTGACACTTGGTGAGTTCCCTGGAACACCGGGGACACATATTCATGTAGAAAAGACGTACAAAAATGCATTTTAGGTAGGTCCCCTTTAATCTAACTTGGTTAAAGCTCCAGAAATCTTGGTTTTAAATCTTTAACTCTGCACCAATCAATACTTTTATACACACAATAGATCAGATGTTTAACCAATATAGTTTTCTCAGTCATTCTGGTTACCTCTCACCGCTCTCATAGCATTTTTTCACTGCTAAAATCTTCTGTGCACACCTTATAGCACCAAACTTTGTTGCACTTTCTTCGTCTTCTCCTAAACAATACTGTATATCCGTGTAAAATGAACAGATGTAAGAAGTTAAAAGGCGTTGCAGATCTACAAGAGACCACTTTAACGTAGCGTTTGGTCATTTAATTCAACAGTGATGTCAAAGACGAATATGTTTGGCTTTTAAAGATGTGCTTATTTCAGCTCCTTCACACATGGAGAGAGAGGTCTGCATCTGTCTGCATTCCTGTCATCACTCCTCCTTTTCCGTCCTTCATTCCTACACTTTGATTATTCACATCTTCACCTCTTCACCTCCTCCTCCCCTCCTCACTTGCTTGCTTTCTTTCTTTCTCTCCTTCCTATTTGTTCAGCCGTGAGCAGCCGAGTGGCTTTTAACGAGGTCTGTAATGAACGTCTCTCGTTAGCTGGGGGGAGGGAAGGAAGTGAAGGAAGTGAGGAAGGAGACGAAGCATCACTAGATCTTGTGTCTCCTTCACCTTGTTGTGTTTGCTTCTTCTGTTCTTTTCTGTCTGTCCTTTCCTTACAGTTCATTTCCTTTATCCTCTCCTCAACTCACTTCTTTAAGTCCTTCCTTTCCTGTCATTTCTTTATTTCCCCTTTAGTTCTTCACCTTTGCTCTCTTACCTTTTCTCACCTTGGTTTTTCCATTCATTTCCTTTCCTTCACGTTTTGTTTCTGTCCATTTCTTGCATTCTTTCCTCACGTTTCTTTACTTTTCCACACCATTCATTATCCTTTCCTTAATTTCCTCGTCACCTTTCCTTACTCTTTCCTTTCTTAACCTTACCTCCTCTCCTCCATTATTTGCCTAATTCTCTTTTATTCATATTCCCTTTCTTTTCACGTCCTCTCTTTAAATGTCTCACCTGCCATTTTTCGTCTTTCCATTTATTAATTTAATTAGTTACATTACTTTTTACTCAAACTTTAATTTAATTTACTAAAATTTTATGTTGCATTTCCTCTTAATTAATACTATATTCAATACATAAATAATAAAATGTGCATAAGGATAAGGTTCAAAAGTCGTATGAATTGAACTATGAGAAACACTGTGTTGTGGTGTGTGTGTGTGTGTGTGTGTGTGTGTGTGTGTGTCGTGTGTGTTGTGTTGTGTGTGTGTTGTGTGTGTGTGCCTTGGTGTGTTCTTGTGTGTGTGTGTGTGCTGTGTTGGTGTGTGTGGTGTGTGTGTGTGTTGCTGTGTGTGTGTGTGTGATTAGTGTGTGTGTAGTGTGTGTGTGTGTGTGTGTGTGTGTGTGTGTGTGTGTGTGTGTGTGTGTGTGTGTGTGTGTGTGTGGTGTGTGTGTGTGTGTGTGTGTGTGTGTGTGTGTGTGTGTGTGTGTGTGTGTGTGTGTGTGTGTGTGTGTGTGTGTGTGTGTGTGTGTGTCCAGGTTCAAGACATGTAAATAGAATTAGCCTATTTCACGCTCAATCTCACCCTGCGATAGTTGACCCCTGGGGTTGTGTGTGTGTGTCTGGTGAGTGTGTGTGTGCAGAGTTCAGAGGCCAGCAGCGTATTGGAGGATATCCGGCCAGTCGTAGGTGTGTGTTTCTCGAACATATGTGGTTGCACGTGTGCGCCGTGTGTGTAATTTGATTTCCTTTGAGGTGAAGGCTGCCTGCTGAATGAACTTCTCTCAGACTCTCTGCTGAGGTGGAGCTCAGTTCAATCTGCGCTGAAACACACAGATCTTTTTCCAGCTTTTATTCAATAAAATATGAATTTAATGGATCACAGAGGGGCTCACCAGTGTAAAAAAAGCCACAGTGAGTTGAGCTGCTGTATGGAGAAACCTAAATGGTGTTTAAATATAAGAAATTACTTAAATATCCTGGATATAGTATTCCATGAACAGGTTGCATTTATTTTCATTGGCTGCTGGTTTTCATCTCTGGAAACCAGACTGTTGACCTCTGCAGGAAAAACATTAGCAGACATCTGCGTAGTTTAACTTTCTTTATACCTGGATCAACTCACAAAAAAAACATATTCAGAGGAAAGAAAATAAATGGGCATGGAAGAAATGTATGTATACTAGTTTGTTAAGTACGTTAGCTAGTGAGGTAGCCGTTAATATGATAGCAGGCTAGAAACATGCTAGCTTTTAGTTTCTCAAAAAACTCTCCAAAATGCTTTCTTCCTAGTAATATCTGTGCTTTTATTCAAAACAATTTGACATTTTGTTCTCAGGATTGTACTTCCTTTCAGTCATTATTAACAAGGATCTTCAAAAATGAGCTGGCTCGCTTACCGTTAGCTTGTTAGCTTAGCCTCTAAGGGTGAAATGGGTTCACAAGGTTTATTCAAAAGCAGTTTTTACAATTGACTCCCGTTTCATTGCTGTCTTACATTTAATATGTTATAGCCATAGTGTCTTTTATATCAGACTTCAACAGAGAGGAGTCCTGGAAAATAATCTCTTGGAAATATTGTGAACACTGTGTTTATTCCCAATACCTATTTATATAGCTAGTTAGCTTAGTTGCTAATGGGTTCACACAGTTCAATCCAAAGATGTATTTACCATTGGTTCCTGTGTCATTGCTTTCTTTAAAGTATATCTTCGTGGAGCAGTTTGTAACAATACTGGATATTTATTCTACATATTCTGACATTTTGTTCTTGTAAATTCACATAGTTTTAGAAAGTAATTGACAAGGGGGGACAAGCCCAGTTAGTTGGTTTGTTAGCTTTGTCGCTAACAGGAAAATGTCTCACTCACGTTATTCCAAATACGTATTTACCACCATTGATTCCTGTCTTATTGTTGTCCGTAAAACATTACTCCTACCTTGCGCAGTTTATAGCCATAGTGTCTTTTAAATAGCAAAGACATCCTGTTAAATAATCTCTAGCAAAGAGTGTGTTTACTGTGACTAATGGCGACATTTCCGAACAGTCACATATGTGCGATTACTTTAGAGCTGTATAAACACACCGTGCAATTATATGTTTATAACAGATTCAACACTTAAAGCTTATCATTAAGCACAATTACATAATTATGTGTGTGTGTGTGTGTTTTGGTGGGTGTGTGTGATGAATGAAGGTACTCAAATATGCAGCGCTGGAATGAAAGCCCCGGTGTGTGTTAATCACCTGAAGGTGTGTTTGTGTCAGTTGGAAACATCAAAGACACGTCAGGAGTTATTTACATACTCAGGCCGCTGGGGGAGAACACACACTTCCTTTTCATTTACTCCTTATTTCACACACACAGAAGTACCAACGTTCATATTTATGTGGATTTTTTTATTTGTGAACGCTACGAAAAGTGGTTTAATCGCAATTTAAGGAAAGGAAAAATAAGCAATAATGGGATGAATTCAGTTATTTTCTAAATTTGACTTTTATTTCACCTTTAGTTTAATTTCCCAGCACTTCCTTTTCTACAATCTTTACCTCACTGTTAATTTTGTCAGTCCGTTTAATCTCTTTGCTTCATTCTGTTGGAATGCAGACGTTGAGGTCAAGACTGAGGCCACGTCTGGACACACACACATACACACACACACACACACACACACACACACACACACACACACACACACACTCAATCAAACCCACGCAAACACATGTTTTGCTTTCTGTATTAATGCGTTGTCATGTACTTCCCCATCCGCTGCTTTTATTCTTATTATGCTACTTCATCATCATGACTGCACCTGAACGCAGCACTTTATTAATGCTCACTCAGTGTGTGTGTGTGTGTCTTCGGTGTGTGTGTGCACTTAAATGTGACAAAGTGCACCTGTTTCTGACTGTGTACTTGCATGTTTGAATGTATTTTTTGTGGTTTGTTTTGTCTCTTTCATTCAGCGTTCATGCGGTTCAGGACACATTTTTTTTGGGTTAAAAATGTCAAACTATTTGATACAGTAGACATGAACACTAATGCTCAGGTGCACAGGAAGTAGTGCAAACAATATCCATTAACTTGACCTACTTTTTAGTTTAAATTAATTGTAATATTATCATTGAACTGCTAAATGTGCTGGTATTCTTTAAGGATCTTCTCTCTGTTTTGTCGGTATAATGTCATTGTAATGGTATGTCATTGTAATGTTATGTCATTGTAATGTTATGTCATTGTAATGGTATGTTAAGTTGTGCCAATTTCCATCACCTGGGACTGCAGATGGAAATGAGCTAATAGCTTAATCTGGCATAAATCATCTCTTGTCTTTTTGAGATGTATTTTCATGCATGTTTCTTAACCTATAGAGACATATTATATACAGTATATAAGTATTTCTGTTTTTCTTAGAACAAAGAGAAGAAGAATATCAGTTAACATGAATAAGGAAAAGAGCATTATGTAAAGAAAACTTCACCACGGAGACCTCACCCCTCTCTCTCACACTATTTATATTTTATTTGTATTTACTTGCACTATTGTACCTGTGACCTCAGATTATCATTGTCATAACTACACTGTAGCTATGTACACATGACAATAAAAGCCTCTGTCTGTTTCTCTCTCTCTCTCTCTCTCTCTCTCTCTCTCTCTCTGTCTGTTTCTCTCTCTTCTCTCAGGGTAAGGTGGCGCAGACGGCCTGCATGTCGGCCTGTAAACACATCTCCACCTCTCTGATGCAGCTGCTGCTCGACCCCGACGTCAGGCAGATCTCCATGGGAGCGCTGCAGCAGCTCAACGCAGACGTCAAGGAGTGTGAGGGTAAGTGTGCACAAAAAAAACCTAACGTACTTATCTGTCAGATTTGACCCCTTCTTCCCCATCCTCCCCTCCCTTTGGCCCTCATGTTAGACCCATCAATGATTTATTTACTTCCTTGCATGCGTCCTCCTCTCTCTCCTAATTCGTCCACTTCTGTCTCAAAACCAGCGTACTTCTCTGTCATATTTGACCCCTTCTTCCCCATCCTCTAGACCAGGGGTGTCAAACTCAATTTCATTGCGGACCACATTAGAATTATGGTTGCACTCAAAGGGCTGGTGGTAACTTTAAGACTATATAAATATACATAGATAAATATACATAATAAATATAAAATAATGTATAATTTTACAATATTTCCTCTACATTGGATTATTATCGGATAGGGTAATAACTTCATAATTAACTACGTCTGAAAGCAGAAGTCTAGGGCAAATCATTGCAAGTCTCTTCAGTGCGCATGTCACAAAATGAGATGCATTGTGGGACATGTAGTTTATGGGCAACGTTCTCCTGTAAAGCGGCACGTAACATTATAATACACTTATTATATTCTTTGCAAGCTCTTGTGGGGCCACATAAAATGAAGTGGCGGGCCGGATTTGGCCCCCGGGCCTTGAGTTTGACACGCCTGCTCTAGACCCATCAAGGATTCATTTACTTCCTTCTATGCATCCTCTTCTCTTGTAATCTTTCTTTTACTTTCCTAATTCGTCCACTTCTCTCCCCGTATATATTTCAATCAATCCTAATCTTCTTCCAGCACATACAAACACATTTACGCGTGCACACAAAAAGGCAAAAACAGAAAGTGCAAAATGGCCGTGCATTGCAAACCTGCCCCACAACTTTTAATACGAACTTGAAAGTGCCTTATGTGCAGTTTGCATCTGAGAACCCAGGGGGCGCTATGGCTCAACTGGTTTCAGTCAGAGCATCTTTGATTCTCTGAAAACACTCATTTCACCATATTTTCCTGCCCTCGTCACCCCACTTCTCTCACCCCTCTTCTCCCCCCACTTTGTCCCTCCTTTCTCCTCTTCATCATTTAAAATCTTCCTCACTCCTCAAACATCCCTCTGTTCCTTCCCCTCTCGCCTTGTTGTTCTGAGAAAGAAAGGCAGGAGGGGGGACGAATGAAAGAGAGTGAGGCGGCGTCGTTGGCTCCGTTTTTACATGATCAAAAGTTCTCAGAGTCACTGTGTGTGTGTGTGTGTGTGTGTGTGTGTGTGTGTGTGTGTGTGTGTGTGTGTGTGTGTGTGGTGTGTGTGTGTGTGTGTGTGTGTGTGTGTGTGTGTGTGTGTGTGTGTGTGTGTGTGTGTGTGTGGTGTGTGTGTGTGTGTGTGTGTGTGTGTGTGTGTGTGTGTGTGTGTGTGTGTGTGTGTGTGTGTGTGTGTGTGTGTGTGTGTGTGTGTGTGTGTGTGTGTGTGTGTGTGTGTGTGTGTGTGTGTGTGTGTGTGTGTGTGTGTGTGTGTGTGTGTGTGTGTGTGTGTGTGTGTGTGTGTGTGTGTGTGTGGTAGGTAATGTGCAGTGACATGCATGCAGTGCTGCCGTGGGGTTAGGAGGTCACGGAGTTATTGCACCAGACGCTGGGAAGACAAACTGGGGCGATGGAAAGAGAGAAAGGATACAGTCGAGGGACGGGTTGATGTAACAGAAGCAGAAAAATGTGAATACTTCAAGAGAAAGAGAGAAAAGGAGACCTTAAGATGTGGAGGAAGAGGGATTAAGTTAATAGGAGGAAGAGGAACAAGGGATTAATGAGATACAAAGTGCAAGGTGGATGGGAAGGAGATATTACAATACATAACGTTTGAGAAAAGATGGAGTCTGACGAGGAAAAAGGGGACAAAAAATAAGATGAATGGATTACATTTGAGGGGGTGAACTGATCAATTGAAGTTAAGATGAAGGGAGAGATAGAGGGGATATCAAAATCAGCTTTATTGTCAAACATTCGACATGTGTTATACATCCAGAAATCTCGAAATATCGTTTCCCGCAGTCAAACAAAAAGGGCCTAGATAAACGGGGTATACAGTTTAAAATGTCAATAATATATTTGACAGAGGATGAGGAAAAGGGCGACTGTAAACGAAGGAAAGGCAGATATACAAGTGAAAAAGAAACACACAGTGCATTTTTATTGGAGGGTGTTGAAGAAAGGAAGTGCATTGAGAAGGGATTAAATATTTAAAAAAAAGAGGGTCATAGAGAAGAATGGGATGCAAGAGGGCGAGGAACAAGAGGGCAGAGAAAATGGGATTAAATGAGAGGTGTGAAATACAAAAAATGAAAAGAGGGCAGAGGAGACAAACATGGATGAGAGGAGGGATTAAAGGAGAGTCTGAAAGGAGGGGGAAGCAGGAGAAAGAGGAATTAGAGATTAAATACAGCCAGGAATTTCAGGATTGTGCCGGATGAAAGGGAAGGGAGGTGCAGATGAAATGAATGAGGGGGGGGAGAGGTGGGAACATCAGACGAGGAGGAGAGATGCAATTAGATCTGTACAAGAAGGCTAAGAGACAATTACAAGTAAGGAGGGAGGAGAACGAGTACACACACAGTCATCAATGTGAGACCTACGTGGGAATAAAGGGGGCGTTACAGTGCAAACTAGTGAAAAACAGAAATGGAGCAACATAGTTAGAGAACGTAGAGACAAGTGTTAACTGTGGAGGAATAAATAAAGGAGAAAATGGGCTAAAAAAATGGTGTTAGAAAATGAGAAAACATGGGATCATTAAAGTACATCTTAAACATCTGGAATATTTTGTATACTGTATGTGGGAACGATAACACAAGAGGGGATTTGGAGTAGTGAGGGAAAGGGAGAAATGCAAAGAACGTGGCAGTTTTGAGTCAGCATCCCGTCTTTTATCAACAGTCAGGTTACGTTTCTTTAGCGGGAAACTTAAGCAATCCTCTGGAAGTTCAGAAACCGCTCATATGGATAGTTTGTGTGGAGGTAGAGGGGAGAAATGTTGATGTAAAAAGTAAAAGTTAGCAGGTTATTTATGGAGGTTTGGTCTGAGAACGAGAAAAAAGCTTATGTCAGACAATTCAAAGTTCATGAGCATTGCGCTGTGTGTGTGTGTGTGTGTCTGTGTGTCTCAAGGGGGTCACTGAAGATGGCAGGCGTGTAATCAGCACTGTGGTGTGTGTGTGTGTGTGTGTGTGTGTGTGTGTGTGTGTGTGTGTGTGTGTGTGTGTGTGTGTGTGTGTGTGTGTGTGTGTGTGTGTGTGTGTGTGTGTGTGTGTGTGTGTGTGTGTGTGTGTGTGTGTGTGTGTGTGTGTGTGTGTGTGTGTGTGTGTGTGTGTGTGTGTGTGTGTGTGTGTGTGTGTGTGTGTGTGTGTGTGTGTGTGTGTGTGTGTGTGTGTGTGTGTGTGTGTGTGTGTGTGTGTGTGTGTGTGAGGTGAAAGAGATTAGCTACAGGCTTGCTCTATCCCTCTTTTTCCGCGGCACTCCTCTTTTCTCTCGTTCCCTCGCTCAGAATACCAGTCGACTTGTTTACGGGGGCCAACTGACGCCAAGACCCTAGCTCACACTCCGTACGACCCCCACACACAAACACACACACACACACACACACACACACACACACACACACACTGAAGCGTCACCTTGGGTTCAAAATCCAACAGTCCTTAACTGTTCTCAAACATGCCGGCGAAGCCCTGTACCAACAACAAATAAACACACTCACTTGACAAGCCGACACAATGTCACACACACGCTCAGACACACACACACACACACACACACTCCCAGACACACACACACACACACACATACTCCATTACACACGCTAAACCACGTTTAAAACCTATTTGATTTAAACACTACAAAACCGCATACATGCTCACTCTCACAAACACACACACACACACACACACACACACACACACACACACACACACACACACACACACACACACACTTGACAAGCAGACACACTGTCATACACACTCTCAGACACAGACACGCCGTCACAACGACACCGACACCGCTAGAAAACCTCCACACACACATTTAACACAACCTAGATTTAAACGCACTACAAAACATTTCTCACCCAAAGCACACACACACACACACACACACTCTCACACACACACACACACACACACACCCTCTTTCTCTCAGCGACATGACTCTAACACCCTCCCCTCTCTCCCCCCCCCCCCCCCACCCCCCCTCCCCAGGCTGTCATTTGTCTGCCAATCTATCCCGATGCATAGCGAATCCCCGACCAGGTCTTTTATTATTCCGTTTTTCACCCTCTCTCTTCCCCTCCTCCTCCCCCTCTCTCCCCTCTCTCCGGGGGGGGGGGGACTGGGGGGGGGGGCGGGCTTGTGTTTTTCCCACAGGTTTTGCCAGAGCCGGCCCGGTCGCAGGCTTCCAGGGTGACACGTTGCTTCTGGCCTTCAGTGACTTGAGACAAGTAGGTCTTTGTCTCCCCGTGGTCCTTCCTTTGCTCTGTCTCTGCTTTTTTTCCCTTTCTCCCCTTCACTATCTTTTTTCTACCTCCCCCCCCCCCTCTTGTCCTTTTCATCCTTCCTCCCATCCTCCCTCCAAACACTCCTCCTCAAATCCGACTTCATCCTGCCCATTTGTGACGGTATTTGTGTATGTATGTTATATAGTGTGAACACAACAAGTTAGGGCTGTGCGATTATGGCAAAAATCATAATCACGATTATTTGGGTCAATAATTGATATCACGATTATTAAATACGATTATTCATTGACTTTGAAAACATCCATTTATTGAACTTTAAAACAAATACAAATAATAATTTGAACAGTCTCTTTTTAACTGTTGATTACCCTGAACGTATAATTCAACTGAAAAACCAATACAAAAATTAATGAAATAAATTACACACCTTAAAGGGGACCTATCATGCAAAATGCACGTTTGTACGTCTTTTCTACATGAATGTGTCCCCGGTGTTCCAGGGAACTCAGCAAGTGTCAGAAAACACAACCCTCTCTATTTTCCTCCATACCCAAATCTCTAAAAAAGGGGCTGCAACGGATCTGATAAAAACTGATCCAGATTTGAACACTGTCCTGACGTCAGGACGGTGGTGCTACGGCTATTGGGCCAACTCCACCAATCAGAAGGCGACAGCCACGGCCATTGCCGTTCGAAAGCGCTGGAGACGCTGTAGTACATATGCCAGGCCTGTAGGTGGTGCTGTTCTCACAGAATCTGCCCTTGCAAAAACAGAGCTAAAAAGTGTCAAATTGAGCAAAATGAGGCATGGCTAAAATGCATGATCTGTTTGGTATTTTGAAAAAAAAAAAGTATAAATATGCCTTATATAGGTATGGTCCTACACTATATTATTAAAATATAGCATGATAGGTCCACTTTAAATAAATAATATCAAAATAATAAATACCAATAAACAAGATCAACAAATATTTTGGAGCGCACTTCCACAAGCTACTAAACATATATAAATATGATAAATACAAATAAATGAGACCAAAATAAATTAGATCAAATATGTTGCACTGTCACAACCTAGCAAAGCAAAATAATTGTTTTTTCCGATTATGTTGTTTTCGTAATTGTGGCAGGCCAAAATCGTAATTGCGATTAAAATACGATTTAATTGCACAGCCCTAACTACAAATCACACGGTATCTGATCCTTTTTGACATTTGGATTCGGGCCACTTTCTTATGTGGATAAGATCAAAATCATATACACGTTTGATTCGTTGCAATGCATCCTCCATTTTTACGTTTTAAAACTCGACACACAAATCCGCTCTGAAGCAGGAGCTATTTCTCCACAAAAGGCATTGATTTGAAGTGAATGTGTCGTGTGACGTGCCCATTTATCATCTTGAACTAATGTTTTAAAAATGAATGACAAACTGATTCATCGAGAACATTACCAGGAGAATCATGTAATGAAAATGAGCTTAGCTAGTTAGCTCCTGATTAAATATTGATAAGTATAATATATAACAATATACTGTATACATGTTGTCATTAGATGTATAAACTCGTAGTACACATTTGTCTGCATTGAGTACTTATGATACTTTTACAGGCTGTCCGCGGGGTCTTAAAAAGTATTAAACGGCATTTTCCAAGGTATTACATTTTGTAGCTAGTTTTCAATAAGTATATAAATTGTCCAAAGAGGTTGTGTTGTACAGTCTGCCTGAATGTAATCATTGCGTAGGTGTGTAGTGTGATTCTGTGTAGTTTATTTATGACATCCCGTTGGATTTGACGTCATCTGAACAGGACATCGCACGCTCACTGCTTGATAGCGCGCGAAGGTCCGTTTACGCCGGTTGTTAAGCAACATCGTTATGGGGAAATGCAAGTTTGCGTCCAAATGGTTGGAAGATAAGGAGGAAGGACAATCAATACTGTATATAGTGAATGTGAGGTAAAGTGTGTCGCCAAGGTAACCGGTTGAAACTCAAAGTGGCGATGAGGTCTTAAAATGTATGGAAAGGGTCTTAAAAAAGGTCTTAAAAGGTTTTACATCTGACTTCAGGATTCCTGCTTATACCCTGATTTAGTACATCTGCCTGATTAAACATTAATACTTTTACATAAGTAGCCATTTCCAGGTATTATTTTGATCTTGTAGTGATTGTACTTTAACACTGCCTGTATCACCATATTGTAAATGGACCATAGCTTGCCTCAGTTTGTGGGTGATGAGGTGAAACATACCTTATATCTCCTACCTGACATGTGTCTCTTTGCAGTGTAAACAAAACTCGGAAAGATATTTGTTGTTCCATCATCTTGGTGGACCTTTGTTGATCTTGATTAGAAAGCAACTAACAAACAACATGGACATCATCATCATCATCATCATCATCATCATCACAATCACTCCTTTACTAGAACGTATGATGACTTGTGATCAGTTAGAGCTCAGGACCGCGTTACCAGTTTTCCTCGAGGCAAACCACGTTCCTCGGACATCGTTTTGAGAAACAGGAAGTGGCTCGTCTGAGTGTTAAAGCGTCTTGTTTCGGGTCCTGGGAAAAACAGAGCAGAACCAGTGAGAGGCGGGACCGAGCTGGACGAGTTCTGGAGAATACAGGATGTTGGGCGGAGTGTGTGTGTGTGTGGGTGCTGTATTTCGACTTTACGGAAAAAAGCGCTTGGCAGGGAAGTGCGTACGTGCGTGAAAGCGCGTGCGAGCGAACTCTCGACAGACACTGCGGTGTGTGTGTGTGTGTGTGTGTGTGTGTTAGTGTGTGTCTGTCATCGTCGCTGAATGTGTGAAGCAGGGCGGAGAGCCCAGGCGAAAAAAGTGTGTGACTTTCTGGCTGCTGCAGTGTGTCTGTGAATGTGTGTGTGTGTGTGTGTGTATCGTTGCAAAGTGTGTGTCATCGCAGTGAATGTGTGAAACAGGGCGGAGAAGAAGTCAAAGTTTGTGTGTCCGTCTTTGATGCGTTCGTGGAAGTTGTTGTGGAGTGTGTGAAAGTGGGTGGAAAAGTGTGTGTGTGTGTGTGTGTGTGTGACAGCGGATGACGGATGGGCCGGCAGGACGGAGCAGGGGACGATGAATGAGGTGACAGACAGAGACGGATAGCCCTTTATCCCTCCGTCACAACCCCTCTTTCTCTCCCCCTCTCCTCTCTTTCTCCGCCTGTCGGGATGATGTAGTGCCTCTTGTTCTCTCGACTGGAAGGGGGGAAGATGGGGAGAAGGAAAAAATTGCATTCATGCCGCAGCATCGATGTTTACTTCAGAAAAGCTCCATCCTCTTCTCCATCTTCCCTCCTCCTCTTGTGCCCATCACTTCGCTCTTCATTCAGCTTCCCTTTTATTTTTGAACTCCATTGTTTTTGTCGCCCATTCTTATCAAATCAAAAGACATTCCTTCACACTCGCACATCTGCCCCGGCGCATCTTTTTGTCTTCTTTCAGGTAGATGTTTTTGTGTGTGTTGACACGCTTTCATACGTGCAAGTATGACGTGTGTCTTTGTGTATCGGTGTGTGTGTGTGTGTGTGTGTGAGCTGGCAGTGAATGGCCGATAAATCACGCTGACGGGGACGTTTTGTTGTGTGGTCGGGTCCCGGTGTTCTGGAAGCTTCCGGGGTCCTGGGACCGGGCCGAGACAGGAGTTCCCCCAGGACACACACACACACACACACACACACACATTCACACACACTCTTAGATAGAGATGGACACACACAGAGAACACACAGCGAGATGATAACGGTCTGTGTCGAAGCAGTTTGAGAAACTTTCGTGTCAATCAAGGTCTCCTTCAGGTAATTTTTCATGCAAAATAGTAGAAAATGCTTTTTCCAGCTTCTTAAATATGGACAGTTTCAGCTTTTATCAACATTTTGTACTTGTTTAACTGCATATCTTTGGGTTTTGAGTCACAAATCAAGACTTTAAAAGACATAGCCTTGGATTTGAGAACCTCAGATGGACATTTGTCACTATTTTCTGACATTTCCAAACCCAAACGATTCATCGTGTTTGTTGCACGACATGTTAAAATATCATTAGGGTTTCGTTATCAAGCTGCAGACACTTTGCTGGTCGCATCCCACAAAGTATTTAGGTTCCATACCCTGCTCTTAATATCATAATATATCACGATACTGCTTCGAATCAGGGGACGGATACATGCATTATTTCTCACGTAACTTCATGTACATTTGAGTTTTAGTGATGTAAGATGCCTGCAACACACATAGAGGTCAACATGCTATCAACATAAACTCTAATTATAGTTCTCATACTGCGCCATTTACTTAATTTAACAAAAAAAGAACAACGTGTATTTCAAAGTATTCCAAACTGTCTTCAAAAAACCGCTGATTCACTGTAACAAGCTTATCTCGGCTGTCAGCAGCTTTCTCCCATTCTCCAAAATTGCTAAATAAGTTAGCGAGCGTAGGAGGCTGATTGTGTGTTCGTGTGTGTGTGTGTGTATGCACTCCCCAGGCTGCCCTATTCCACAGATCCTATCAATCCTCCTATATTTAGAACATTCAGAAGGCTGTGGTTACTTCAAACCTTTGGCTGGCCCTCTTGTGCGTGTGTGTGTGTTCGTTCGTGTGTGTGTGTTCGTTCGTGTGTGTGTGTTGCGGTGTGGCGTCCCCCCAGAAATCCGCTTGCACCAGTAGAGTTCCACTCATCCCCTTCTCCACTCGTTCATACGCCAGGCATGCATTCTTCCATCTTCACTTCACTCGTGTGTGTGTGTGTGTGTGTGTGTGTGTGTGTGTGTGTGTGTGTGTGTGTGTGTGTGTGTGTGTGTGTGTGTGTGTGTGTGTGTGTGTGTGTGTGTGTGTGTGTGTGTGTGTGTGTGTGTGTGTGTGTGTGTGTGTGTGTGTGTGTGTGTGTGTGTGTGTGTGTGTGTGTGTGTGTGTGTGTGTGTGTGTGTGTGTGTGTGTGTGTGTGTGTGTGTGTGGTCATTGA